CCACTTTTAAGGCCTCCTGGACCCTGGGTGAGACATGTCCTCCATATTTCTTGAATGCCTTACATTTTGTCCTATATTTTCTTCTGGTTTTGTCAGGACTGGTTAGTACTTCGATGGCAAACCACCAAGGAATATCAGGTGCTGTAGGCTATATTTCAGAGGAAAAAACTGGTAAAACCACCTCTGAATATTTCTTACCTAAGAAAACCCTATGAAATTCATAAGGTTGCCTAAGTCGATAGGTAAGTTGAAGGCACATACACACACATGCTGGATGAATGATGAAGGTTCTAGCCTAAGTAGAGGACCAGAAGTTCCCCAATCCTACTGTCTCTTGGAAGACAGGAAATTGCTCTTGCATTATTGCAGAAATCCTGTGTATAGGTGCAGACACCTCCTTGATGAAATCCTGTATATCTATGCCTATCATCCTTATATTTTGCAACCTCAGAACCAAAAAATGAGAAACATTAGACATATTGTCTCCTTTCCACACGATGAGGTTTGCAATGTCATGAAGAAACACATATGGAAAGTAATCTTATTACTTCAGTCATCCACTTGCAAGAAGTTCCCTTCAGCAACCGCTTGTGGTATTAGAAACATTACACTTTATAAAACAATAATCATGTGGACAATCAGCATTGCAAGGTTTAAGAATTTTTGCTAAGGAGAGTAAGCAATGCAATATTTTTTAAAAAAAGACAATTTGTAAGACAGACTGGAGGGCTTTTATTTTATTAGTTTGCAGGCAGTTTCTAATCTTGTCAACACCCTCCCATGTGTCTGAAATAAAAGATAAAAATAACAAGCAACAGCTGAAGAGTGAAAGCTTAGGAAACAAAGCTTTCCCTCTACACAGGAGCTATCACCAGCCTCAGGCATTCCATGCTGCAAGATGGTTCAATTCAATCAGCTTTCTTCTTGCTTTCAAGAGAAACGGATTGAGGTAATTAGCCTGTCCCTGGGATTTAGGTCTGATTTTTATTTTATTTTTAAACATTAGAGATTAGAATAAGCCTCCAGTGACTGAAGCCCTTTTGGTTGTGCAACTGGAGCTTGTGCAACTACTGCCCTTGTGTTACATAGCCTGCTTCCTTCCAGCCCACTCAACTCTGCCCATAGAAAACTTACAACAAGATCCTGCAGTGAGAATCTAATAGCCGCTTTTATTGCCAGCAACATAACTTTTAAAAGTTGGGGAAATTTCTTCTTCTGGCTTGCATGAATTTAGAAGAGCTTACTAGTACTGCCAGATACAAAAGCAGGGGATGGAGACAATTTAAGGACTTTTTCTGTATAAAGGTCTAAGTAAAAAAACAACAACAACCCTCACTGTGTTGTTATGTGCCTTCAACTCATTTCTGACCTATGGCAAGCCTCTCTTAGAGTTTTCTTGCAAGATTATGTTAGAGGGGATATTCCCTTGCCTTCTTTTTAGGCTGAGAGATTAATTTGTCCAAGGACACCCAATGGGTTTCCATAGCTGAGCAATTCCAATCCTGGTTTCCTAGACTAGTCTAATACTCAAGTGACTAGTGACGGGAGCTCACTCCACACACAGCACTTGGGCCTCGAACTGCTGACCTGCAAATCTTGTAATTGTCAGAGTCAGCGTCTTCACCATTGAGCCACTGAAATGTACAGTTACGTACTTTCAAATGGGCTCTTAGGCCTATGGACCTATGACTCTGAAATTGTTGGACTCCAACTGAAAGTCATCCACGGAGCTTGGGAAATTACTTTTGAGGAAGAGTGAATAAGATGACTTGTTGAAGCCATCCATAACTGAGTGGCAGGTGGTAGGATGCTACAATGTTCAGAGCATCATTTTACCCCAGCACATTTGTAAATGGCTTCAGCATGCCATTATATCAATCATCTTTAAAACTAACTTTCCAAACTCTGGCCAGCCTAAGCTATGATGAGCAGTGATCAAGAAGGATGGAAGTTATATTCCAACATCATCAAGGAGTATAATTTTCCTGTCTCCTTGCACTAGAACAAAATTGCATTCAGGAGATTGCTAATGCACAGCCTTTTCATGATGTGCTGTGAAAAAGGAGCTTATCGCACTGATAATAAAACCAGCTTACTTGAGCCAGCTTAAAATTTACAATGGGCAAGATCCTGATGTTATCAGAAGGATTTAGCCACAGAAATTGCCACCCGGGACCAACCCAGGTCCATCTCCGCTGGCAGGGGCACTCAACACGCCTCTTTTCGAAGCTGGCTTAAGGAAATGGCCACCAGAGTGGCCCTGGGAATGGGGATAGACCTGGGCTGGGTCCAAGTGGTGATTTCGGCAGCTAAATCCTTCTGATAACATCAGAAAGCCACCCGTTTTAAATTTTAAGTCAGCTCAGGTATGCCGGTTTTATTATTTGTGGGATAAAGTCCAAAAGAGTGAAGCTATTGTGTCAGGAAAGTCTGTCTGGGGTCAAAATGGCATCTCTGGTGATTCATCTTGTATCATTCCATGACCTCAGCCAAGCCAAAACTAGTTCTACACAACAAGGTTGTGACAAATTATTATATATCAGCTTACTGAATGACTTTTACAAATGCTTGGGCGCATTTTCAGAACTGCAGCTATAGAGTACTAAAATAAGAGCCCTAACCATATTTCCACATAGAATATTTTTTCCTAGTCAATACCAAGAGGTAAATAGACTAGTCATGTGAATTATACCCAAGGACTTTTTGTGCAAAAACTGGTAACCAAATGATTTTATAGTGTAGTGGTTTGAGTGTTGGATTATGACTCTGGAGACCAGAGTTCGAATCCTGGCTTGGCCATGAAAACCCACTGGATGACCCACTTAGTGAAGTCACACTCTCTCGATCTCAGAGGAAGGCCATGGGATACCCCCTTTGAAGAAACTTGCCAAGAAAACCTCATGATAAGTTCACCGCCTTAAGATTGCTACAAGTCAGAAATGACTAAAAACACACAAGGAGAGTGTTTATAAAAACTTACTATTACTCCTCCCACCAGTAGAAAATGCTTCGTTTTGGTTTTTCAGTAAAGCAAAGCAGCTTCATTTATATACTCTCCTTGTGTGTTTTTAGTCGTGCTATGGGATGTCTAAGCGGTTTACAACTGTGTGAGCTGATTGCCCCCCAACAAGTTGGGTACTCATTTTAGCAACCTCGGAAGGATGCAGGCCTGAGTCTAGCCTGAGCCCTGGCTAGTATTGAACTCGCAACCTTGTGGTCTATGAGTGAGTGGCTGCATTACAGGCATTTAGTCACTGTGCCACCAGGGCTCTGTACACAACCCATAGCTGACATTTCTATCACATATAAATCCAGAATGCTTATTTCTCTCATCTACTGCATTTGCATGTACAGAATGGACTTGCTGTTATCTCCTTCTATTAAATCATTTCACCGGGTCCCATGACAACACTTCAAAAACACCTAACCTGAGACCCTTTCACACTATAGAATTATAGTGATATTATTCCACTTTAACCACTATGGCTGCCTTCTGTGGAATCTTGGGATTTGCAGTTGAGGGAGAGGCATTTAGAATTCTCAACCAGAGAGCTCTTGGGCCTCACTAAACTACAAATCCCAGGATTCCACAGCAGGCAGCCATTAACAGTTAGAGTGGAAAAATAGCACTATAACAGTTTAGTGTCATATTGACTCTCGTCATACTGTTTTGAATACGGTAGTAATATCTATGTATTTTCATCACATAATCCTGGACTAAATTATCCTTTCTTTTCCAATCAAATGAAATGGGAGCCATTCCTAATCAGTCTAGTAATCATATCTCAATTATATTAGAGAAAAGAGAATTATAATACTGAGGGAAAGTACTTGCCCCTACTTAAGGAGACTAAATGCCTCCTATCTGTATCATTGCAAGTTTCCAAGCAATGCTCAGATTCTGGACTATCCTAAAATGTGTGACCAAATACATCCACACACTGTAGAGGTCTAGTCAGTAAACATTTGCCAAACTTTGGCACCATTTTACATTAGTTGTCTCCTGTGCCTTAAAACAACATATATACACAGCAAAACTTTAAATCTGTACTTTAAGAACTTTTGTTCTGAAAGCTAGCTCAAGAACAAGTCCTTAAAATTCTGTCAGGTCAAAGTTATTCAAGAGAATGTGCACTTAAATGAAAATACTTGCTGTTTTCAGTCGTGCTCCTCTTCTGATCTGACATAGTACAGCATCTTGACTGAAAGGAGTTAACTGGTTGTCACTTTTTACCCTTTTCATTTGCACTTCCTTTAAATTCTGGATCAAATTCTGTGGAGATGACCTTTGGAGAGAAGACATGGAAGGTGCTGGAGTTATGACAGCTGAAGAAAGGTTATCATTACATGATTCTGATACTGAGGAAGATACTGCTGGGATATCAACATTAAACCCAACCGTCCTTGTTGGAGTCTGGCAGTCTAGTTCATTTTCAGGTCTACAGGTTGTGCCTGACCCACTGGGCATCACAGAATGAAGCAAAGGATGATCAACTGATTTGGTCAATAAACCTGTGGAAAAATGGATAAGTAGTGTAAATAAACATCCAGCTATTCACTAAGTGTAACTATAATATCAAACCACAACGATTTCTTCCAGCATCTTAGCAAGCCAAATTCCTAAACAAAGCAGGACTTTTGGTCATGATGGCTGTATCTGCACTGCATGGTATTTGATAGCACTTTTATTCGCATTGTTATATTCCATGGAATTGTGCAATTTGTAGTTTGTTGACTTACTTAGGATTCAGTGATAGAAAGCTCACTGCCTTTGTACAGAGAATTTTTAACTGCTTCACCAAACTATAAATCCCAGGATTCCATGGGACAGAGCCATGAGAGCTGAAGTGGTATCAAATTGGTATAATTGTCTAATAACAGATATCACCTGTGAGTATTAGTTGTGTTCACTGATATAACATAACATACTAAGCTACTACTAAATAAGTAATGTTATTAGGCATATATCTAATGTACTGACATTTATGATCTGATATGATTGGAGTGTGGTGTAGTGGTTTGAGTGTCAGACTACAACTCTGGAGACTAGGGTTCGAGTCCCTACTCAGCCATGAAACTCACTGGACAACCTTGGACAAGTCACACTCTCTCAATCTCAGGGAAAGGCAAATCTAAACAAATCTTGCCAAGAAACTCCCATAATAGGTTTGCCTTAGGCTTACCATAAGTCAGACATGACTTGAAGGCATATGGGAAAAAAACACAACGGTTTCAAGCATTTTTGCTTACACCCTAAACATACTTGTTATGTACCTTCTTTCAAGTTGACTAAGTAGTTTGAACTAGATTTAAAAGGTGAAAGATTGAAGCAATTTCTACAGTCATACATCTGACCCAAATCTACCGTTGTCCCTCTATTTTCACGGGGGATCCATTCTGGACTCTCCCCCCCCCAAAAAAAATGGAAATCTGCAAATATTCAAGCTCTATGGGCTTGAATGGCCACACACTCCCCACATGCCATTTTAACCCTCCCTGCTTGCCGGTCTACGAAGGACCAAAACCGCAGACCCAAAGTCCATGAAAATGGAAGGATGAGTGTATACACTGTCCTTCACAGCTATTCCATTTAATTGACTATAGCAAAGAGCCAGGTAGCATCCAGGTTGCATCTAGATGGATACATACCGTACATTCCAATGCTTAAAGACAGTGTTCCCCACAACACCAAAGAGCACAGACTGGTTTGGAGACTCCAGGGGCTCATTCCCACTATAATTTACATCGATTTGCTGATCGCTTTAAATGTGCCTCATCCCCATCTGAAATGGTTTCGGATGTGACTGCAATAATTTGGACTCACTTTGAAGTGAGACAAATGCAA